AAAAAAAAAAAAAAATCTGTTGCTCATCCTGGAACTGGAAGTCTGTGATGCCGAATAAGCAAATCCTTATCTCCTATTCTCATACACCCTTACAAGAAATACCCATTTGTGCCCATCTTTTCATTCTGACCTTACAGAGGAAAGACTAGTAAACTGACTTGTTGATCAAGTAGACAAAAGTGTCCTCAATTGGCGTCATTCATTTACAGAGTCTGGATTTTCCTAGAGAGCATTTATGTTTCTGTCATCTAATTTTACACTCACCAAGCACCTTTCTATTCCATAGTTTTGTCTGTAGAGTGCACTCCAAATGTAAAACAACCACTAACATTTACTGAGCACTAAGTGGCTTTAGTATTTTCCATGTATGTGTAAATTAATCCTCACAAAAAGTTCCCTAGAGAGGTTCCTATAGTGTACTATAGCTTCTAATTGTGTACTTGCCATTCTAATTTATAAATCAGACTCTTAGAAGTTTGGAAAGTGTCACACATGCAGCATCTCTGAATCAATCCCTAGACCCACAAAGCCAAGGACTGGGTCCTATGTGTGGTTTGAGATCTCTGAGGTGTCCTACACCTTCTTTATATGTCCTAACTGCAACGCAAGGCTTTTGACTGAGATACTATTTCACAAGGAGTTTGGGATACTCACAGACCATGAAGCCAATTCAAGAACTGTCAGTTTTTATTAAGGGGCCTCAAGCTAGTTAGGAGGAGACCAAAAAAATCACTCAAAAGTCAAAGCTACCTCTTTTATTCTATCACCACAGTATATTTTTATATGCTTAAAATAGAGATGAATTTACTCAGCTAAAGCAGTTTGCCATCAGAACAGTCCATATTTCTCAAGTCTCTGGTAAAACATCAAGTGCATTAAGTAAATTTAAATCAGCTAACCAGAAAATTAAAAGAAGCAGGAAAAGAAGGGATTTTTTGTCTGTAACCCTCCAAATGAGAGTGGACAGGGTTCTAGCAAAGGAGCTTTGAGAACAGTATACAGACACAGCTAGAGATAAACATCAATCTGGAATTCTAATACAGCAACACTGATTAACCATGAGTAAGAGGACTTAATTCTCTATAGAGCCAGCAGATGTGAAGTGAACGGAGGCTTCACTCATACCTAAGTGAAGAAGAATGCTTGTTGTTTCTTTGGGCGATCTGCTTCTGATCTGTGGCGTGCCCAAAGTGCAGATTAGGCGGGTAATGTGATGAAACTCAACTAAATGCTACCACAAACTTTGGACACAAATCAGATCCTTTAACTATAAATTTGATTAAGATGAATCTACACTCAGGTAGTAAAGTATTTCCTTATAATCAAAAAAAAAATTATTCATTAACTATCACCAATATTAAAGGAGGGAAAAAGATTTAGATATATATACCCAGTTATCTCTATGCAATAGTTCTTAGAATTCTCAACTTTTGTAGAAAATAAATTAAAGTCTTTTGAATGCTATTTCAAACCTCTTTAAGAAGTCTATGCTGTTTACTCTGGAGAAGACTCAAAAGTGAGATACCCGAGTTCTTCTTACGTTGCTGAAATCCCTCACAATCCACTAACCTACCGTGTTTCCCCGAAAATAAGACACTGTCTTGTATTTATTTTTTCTCAAGAAGACACACTAGGGCTTATTTTCAGGGGATGTCTTATTTTTACTAAGTATAATACAACAATCTACATTTATTCAAATACAGTTAAGTATAATACAACAATCTACATTTATTCAAATACAGTTAAGTCATCTTCTCCTGGAACCTGACAGGGGAAGCTGACCTTGTTGTTAGGGCTGGCGCTAGTGATACATGAACTCCTTTCCCCTAGCCATTCACACATGCGCAATAGGATACCTGCGACTGTAGTTACCACACACGCACCTGTGCAAGTGCGAATTGCTCAGAGAAAGGAGCTGTGGCAGATAAAACGTATTCCAGTCTTCCTTACTGCTCCATGCCAAAATGTATCACTAGGTCTTATTATCAGGGTAGGGCTTATATTTAACAAATGCATAGAAATCCTGCTAGGGCTTATTTTTTGGGTAGGGCTTATTTTCAGGGAAACATGATATATATCACTCTAACACAGAAATACATACAACAAACTTGGCCAACTATACTTGTAACCTAGTTTCATTTGTTTTACTTAATTCTTTTTTTTTTTTTTTTTTTTTTTTTGAGACAGAGCCTCAAGCTGTCCCCCTGGG